TAGCTGGGCGCCTCTGTGGGACACCCCTCCTCCTCCATCCCTCCCCTTCCCCGCTCCCCGGGTGCCTCCCACCCCCCCCCCAGCTCCTGACTGGCTCCCATGTGCTCCCCTCATGCTCCCCCCCTTCCCCGGGCTTCGGGACTCAGACTGTCTCCTGGCAACTGCAAAAGACCCCACTTCCCGGGGAGATAGCTCAGGGGGCCAGGCAGATGCCTTGGTTGCTACTGATACCACTTAGATCCCTGAGTCCTGGTACTGCTGGGTCTCCGGAGCATCACTGGGCACAACACTGGGGGCCCCTAACACCACCAGGTACAGCCCTCGAGAGCCCCCCAGCACTGCCAGGGATCCCCGGCAGCTTGCATTGGATCCAGTTGGCTGAGAACCCAGGAGGGGCCCTCCTGACCTCTGAGCACCCCTTTATTATTATGAAATAAAAACAGACATGTCCACAGCCCTTCCACTATCCCTATTATCAAGACTTTCCCTCCTGTTTTGTTTTGGGGGTCATATCTGGCAATGCTCAGGGCTGACTCTTGGCTCTGCACTGCTAGTCATGCAGGGTGAAGAGGGGGGCTCTGGGGTGCCGGGGGTGGAACCTGGGTAGCATCCTCCCCTGCGCTACCTCCAGCCCCCTTTTCCTTCTTTCCCTTCACTCTCTCCTGCTCCTTGCCTACTGTGGAATTCTTTGGTTTATCACGCGGGGATTTGCTCTGCTTCTCGACTCTGCAGGTTCGTATCACTGGCAGGTTGGGGACATTTCAGACTTTGGGCAGGGTCCCCTTTGTCTTCTGCCGCTGGACACAGGCAGGTCAGCACTTCGGCGGGAGGTTGTGCTTTGCTTCCTCCTAGTGAGAGGGGATGGTGTCTGTCCTGCCTCGGGCTTGCTGATCCCCTGCCTGTGGGTCCCTTTCCGCACGGAGCCTCCCTCTGTCCCTAAATGCTCTGATGCCATGTGCCCTGCTCTCTTCCCCTTCACAGCCGCCAATTCTGGCCTGTGATACCCTGCGGCTTGGTGGAAAGTGCTCGGAGGCCCTGTGCTCAGCGGCGTTTGCAGCGGCTCTCCTACCATTCTCTTGATGCTGCGGGTGCCCTTCCCTGCCCACCCCACGTGATGGCCCCCTCCTGAACCTCTGGAATCATTCTGCGTGCAGCGTTGGCACTTGTCTTTGCTCTCACCTTCAGCAAAGTCAGGGCACTGCCTCCAGTTCCTGCCAGGTGGGTACAAACCCAGCTTCTTGGGGCCCGAGCGATAGTACAGTGGGTTCGATCCCTGACATTCCATGGGGTCACCTGAGCATGGCCAGGAGTGATTCCCAAGTGCAGAGCCAGGACTTACCCCTGAGCATCGTCAGGTGTGACCCAAAAAGCCAAAAGAAACCACCCCAAACCCCCCACAGCTTCTTGCTGTGGCACCATGGGCTTGGGGGAGGGCACCTCGTCTGTAGTGTGGGGTCTGGTTCAGCTCCCTCCATGTCTGCTACCACACCCGTGGGGTGTTCATTCTGCTCTCCAGCTGTCACCTCTGCTGCCACAGGGTGCGGGTACTGCTCTGAGGACAAATGAGTCCTGGAATGGTTTATCCCTTGGTGCTGAGATGCTAAGAGCACATTTTGTTCTCCTTTTTTTAGTTTCTGGGCCATGTCCGGCAGTGCTCAGGGCTCACTCCTGACTCTGTGCTCAGGGATCTCTCCTGGAGGGCCTATGGGTGCCGGGGATTGGACTTGGGGTGTTCGCGTACAGAGCAAACCCCTTAACCACTGCACTATTGCTCTGGGCCCCCACACTTCCCTTTCAGAGGCCCCTATCTCTGAAGTTTGTCATCGTCACCCACCCACTGTCCTTCCCATGACCCCTCTCCTTTTCCCACGGCCTTTCTCAAAATCAGGACCCAGTGCCTGCCCCTGGGTCGACTTGGAAAGACCCTTAAGTAAAAAAATGAAACACAAATTTGTTTTTGTGTCACACCCGGCAATGCTCAAGGATTACTCCTTGCTCTGCACTCAGGGATCACTCCGAGCAGTGCTCAAGGGACTCTATGGGGTGTCGGGAATTGAACCTGGGTCGGCCACATGCAAGGCAAACACCCTGCGGCTGTACTATCGCTCCAGTCCCTCAACATTTCTTTGTTTTTTTTTTTTTTTTAGTAGGTCAGGGACATACTGAACAAATGAAGGCCCAGATAAGATAATTCTGGCTCTAAAACAGCTTGTGGGCGACCGTGGAGTCTCCCTCATGGCCAGGCCTGGTCCTCTGATGACCACAGTCTCTTGCATGGAGACGTGTGCAGGGCCCGAGCTTCGGAGCAGCGGCACTGGGCTGGGACTGATGTTAATTGTGGGGGATGCGGGGGGGGGGGGGGGGGGGGGGGGAGGGGGGGGATGAGGAGGGGGGTGTTGCGGAGCCAGTTGCAGCCAGGGATCAAAGGGCAGAGGCCTCTGCAGAGGCGCGGTGGGGGCGGTGCCCTGGACCCTGCTGCGGCCCAGTGAAAGCTAATCTAGCACAGATCTGTAGCCCAGTGAGATGACTTCCTTCCTTGATAAAATTAGATTTGGGAAAACATGACTTTCCTCTCAGGACGGGGACTGACAGCGAGCTGGCCGGGCCCTAGCTGACACTGTGCATTCACGGGAGGGTCCAAAGGCCCCCTGGCTCTCTGGGGGACCCAAGGGAAGGGGCCTCAGGGGTCTGGGGCCCTCTGGGCTGGAGGAGAGCTGGAGGAGAGATGTGCTGCTTGTCCTTCAGCTGCCCCTCCCAGCTCTCTGGGGGGTGATACACAAAGGGGGTGTCTGTGCGGTGTGTGTTTGTTCTTGATTTGGCTACAGGGTTTCTGCCACGGGCTGAGAAGTGGGTGTCCACGTTTTTGTACCCCCCTCCCCCAATTTTGTGGTCCAGCAGCAGTGAAGACTGGGTTGCTCCTTAGATGGAAGGAACTCCAGTGATAGTCCTGGTCTGAATGAGGCGATGAGGCACCAAAAATACACGGGCTAGAACAGCAAACACCTCAGAAAAGTTTTTCAGAATGACATTTTTTTTTTGCAGGGGGATGCACACCCAGCAGTGTTCAGGGCTGACTCCTGGCACTGTGCTCAGTGATCACTCCTGGCAGGCCTCAGAGGACCTGACATCCCTCAGAGGGATGCTGGAGATTGAACTGGATTAGGCCGTGTGCAAGGCAGATGCCCTCCTCACTGTGCTATCATCTGGCCCCACAAGAGTGACATTCCACTGAACCTCAGTGTTAGCAGGGTTGTCACAGTGCTTTGAAGACCTGGGGCGGGGGGTTGTCTATGGTTTCAGTGTTGGACCCCCAGCACCCGGGACAGGTCCTGATCTAACAGCTTCTGCATCTGTCCTGTGATTCCTGCCCCAGGGCCTGAACCAAGGGTTTGGGATTTAGACTTTGTTATTTTTATCACTTATAAAATCATCAACATCCGAGTAAACACACCAGCTAGACAGAGCCAGAACCCATCCTGATGGGCCAGACCAGTTCATGTCGCGCCGTGGCGGGCCAGTCCTTGTGGGAGCAGAGATAAAGTACCCTGAGTGCATCTGAGAGGGGCTGGAGGCATCCCCCTAACATGTGAGTTTCACCCACGAAGCATGAGGTTTTGGAGTCTCCTGGGTCCCGGTTCAGGTGCAGGGGTGCTATCCTGAAGTCTTCAGCCCTGCCCTCCAGATATTTGCAGTTTGCGTCAAAACAGAGGCCTAGACTAAACTGTGGGGGAAATAGAATCTGTTGCCTGCAAAACAACTGGGTTTGCTCTGTCTGGATGGAAATGAGTTTAGGAGCAAAAGCCAAAGCCCCCTAAGGGTGAGTCTAATACCTGTGGAATCCGGAGTGACGGCTCAGAAGCTTCCTAACTGCATCTGTGTTCAGAGCTCTGTGCAGACATCAGTACGACCAGAATATGCCACCATCCTTCTCTGCAAGTTGCTGTTATCGTGGGGACCAGACCGCAGTGTCCACATCAGGAAGCGGGGCCTGTGGTCTGGGACTCGGATCTCCCAGAGGTCTCTGTTGGCTACATGCGTGCAACATGGGACCTGCCATCCAGGAGCTGCACTACCCCCTGACCCTCCCCACACCCCACCGCGCCGCCCTTTTCCTTCAGACTCAACCCCAGGGCTGGGTGTTTATTGCTGGAAATTATGAGGAGGTCAAACTCTTTGGAGTCACCCCCACAACCTTTGGCAGCGAGGTGAAACGCATCTGCCGTGATAGATGACAGCGGAAGAGCCCTTTGATTCAACAGGCCTTCGGCAAATAGAAAACAGTTGCTGGAAAATTATATTAGAGATGAATAATCTCCTCCATTACAATGTTTCCTTTTCTTTAATGCAATTTGGTTCCAGCCAAATGAACAGAAAAGGCCTGGGCGGGGCCTGGCGGTCGGTGGTGATGGTGGGGGGTTACTGGAAGCAGCGGGTGAGAAGTCTGGGGTGGGCACGGGCGGAGGCCCGCGCCCAGGGCCCTGGCCGGGCCCACGGGAAATTGAATTCCGAGCCCCGCCTGCCCCGTGAATCCAGGGCAGCTGGCAGCTGTCCAGCGCGGGCGGCGAGGGCATGTGAGGCCAGGAGAGGCCGCGCCGACCGTGCGGCCCCAGGTGTGCGGCTGGTGCTCGCTCGGCTGCCTCCGTCGGGCGCGGCGCGCAGGCCGGACGAAGCAGCGATTCTCTGGGTGCGGGTGCTGGGGGGCCCGACTCCGGAGCGACCCCCGCCGGAGAGCACGTGCGGGCAGCGTGCACGTCTGGGGGGGGTCCCCGCGCCCGGGTGCGGCCCCCGCGGCCCCGCGCGCTCCGGCCCCGCCCGGCGCAGGCGGCGGCCGGGGGCGGGGCCCGCGGCGGCCCCGCCCACCCGCGCGGGGCGGGGTCCTACCCACGTGACGCGCGCCCCGCCCGGCGGCGGCGGAGGCCCGGGGCCCCAGCCGCGCGCGCTGCAGGAGCCGCGGCGCTCGGTGCTCCCGGTGCTCCCCGCCGGCCCCGGGCTGCCGGCCGCGGCGTGACCCCGAGATGGACGACGGCGGCGGCGGCGAGGGCGGCGGCGGTGAGTGCGGCTGGAGGTGTGGCCGGTCCCGCGGCGGCCTGGGGTGGAGGGTCGCTGGCGGCGCCGGCCCCGAGCGGGCGGCGGGCGGCAGGCTCCGGGGTCTCGGGGCGGCACTGGGGGCTGCTCCGAGGGCTCCGGCACGCCGGGGCCGGCCGACCCCGCCCGGTCTCTGAGCGCGTCCACGCCCTCCGCGGCCCCGCGGGTGGGCGACCTTCCCTGGGGTGCGGCGGGCGAAGTTGGCCCCGGGGGCTGGTCCCGGCGGCTGCGGGCGGGACCCGAGGAAGGTCTCTGGGCCAGTGGGTCGGGGCTGGGGGCACCCGGGGAAGGTCTCTGGGCAGCAGGTCGGAGCTGGGGGCACCCAGGGAGGGTCTCTGGGTAGCAGGTCGCGGGCCCGGGGCCGAGGGTCGGGCGGGTCCGGCGCCCCCAGTCCGGCTGTGCAGGGGTCGGGGAGACAGGGCCCCCCCGAAGTTGAGGCTCCGCGCTCTCGCTCGCTCTCCTTTTTTTGCTGACAGCCCGAATCAGACCCCCTTGAAATAAGGAGCGATTTTTTGGGGGAAAAAAAAATCTTAATTACAGGCTGCGGGAGCAGCTGTCGGTCGGCGGCGGCCTTGGGCGGGTGAGTGGCTCTCGGAGGCGCCTCTGGAATCTAAGTGCAGGGCCGGACCGGATCCAGCACCCCGGCCGGCCTGCGCCCGCCGTGGCCGTGACCGTGATCGTGGCCGTGAGGAATTGACCGGTCCCAATGGGGCGGGGGTTGAGGTCGTGCGGGACGCGCTGTTGGTGAAGGGGCAGAGCCGGTGTGTGTGTGTGTGTGTGTGTGTGCGCGCGCGCGTGTGCGTGTGTGTGCGCGTGTGTGACCCAGAGATGCGGGCACTGGATTCTCGGGGACACCCGACTTCGGCCAGCACTGTCCGGGCCCTCCGGACACTGCACTTTTTCCTTTTTTTTCCTGCTAGTAGGGACAATAGATGGTGGCTGGCTTCAGTGCTGGGCGCTGGGGCTAGGGTGCTGGTTGGGCAGTTTTGTTTGGGAGTTGCTTCCTGCTTTTCTCTCTGGGGTGGATGTGGGAGACTTGAAGGCAAAGGCAGGTCTGGAGAGAGCAGAGAGGCGTCCAGTGTTCCCCGGTGCATCAACAAAGGCGGAGATGAAGGAGCAAAAGTCTTGGAACTTTCTTTGAGCTATTAATATCTCTTCTGGGAATGGTTTTGAAATGTGTCTTCTGAGGGCAGATGTGCACTGCACGTCTGTAGAGAACATGGGAAACGGCGGTGCCTGGCCGAGGGGGGTGGGAGGGGACTTATGCTACAGCCCTTAAAGGGGAATTCTCAGGGCTCCAGGAGCGGGTCCTGAGAACTGCAGGTGTGGCTCCTCCACAACCAAACAAAAACACAAATGTATTATTTTTTTCTTCTTCTTCTTTTTTTTTTTTTTTGGTCACACCTGGCAATGTTCAGGGATTGCTTCTGGCTCCGCACTCAGGAATCACTCTTGGACCCTATGGGATGCTGGAGATTGAACCCGGGTCTGCCGCATGCAAGGCAAACACTCTACCCATTGTACTATTGCTCCAGCCCCCAAACGCATCATTCTTAAACTTCATGATCCAAACAGTGAAGAACTGTTTGGACAGTGAGAAATAATGTGGTTTTCACTTAGTCTTTTTCTCTCCTTTCTTCTGTCGGGTGTTTGGAATAACCCAGTCCAGGGCTTTCCCCACGCGAGCTGCGTACTGCAGCTGAACCACTCCCCGAGGTTTTCTTTCTTTTTGTGTTAATTTTTTTTTCTTTTTGGGCTACACTGGTGGTGCTCAGGACTAAGCCCTGGCTCTGCACCCAGGAATCCCTGCTAGCGGGCTTGGGAGGCCATCGGGAGATCAGGCTGCCTGCAAGACTGGCACCCTCCCTGCTGTGCTCTCATGCTGGCACCCGGGTCTTTCCTAAAGTTTATGGAATGATTGTGTGTTGATGTAAATCGAAAAAAAGAGAAGAAGAAAATCTTTAAGAACTGTTCTGGGCTTGGGGGGCCAGAGTGATAGTCCAGCAGGGAGGGTGTTTGCCTTGTATGCGGCCAACCAGGGTTCAATCTCCGGCATCCCATGTGGTCCCCTGACCACCCCAGGAGTAATTCGTAAGTGCAGGGGCAGGTGTAACTCCTGAGCATTGTCCAAAGCAAAACAAACAAGCAAATAAAAAAAAAAAAACCTGGAAACTGTTTCAGGCTAGGTGGCAGCAACCCCCTGGGCATCTCTGGCTGTAGCCTCCAAAACCAAACCAAATAAAATAATGAAAACGCCCTACAGTGAAGAGGTATTTTTTTTTCTTTTGGTGTTTGGGCCCCACCTGTCATGCTCAGGGCTTTTTCCTGGTTCAAGGATTGTTCCTCGTGGGGCTCAGAGGACCATATGGGGTGCTGGGGATCATACCCGAATTTATCAGTGTCTATATATAAAACACCCAGCGTTGCTCAGGGCTTACTCCTGGCTCTGCACTCAGGAATCTGTCCTGGCAGTGCTTGGGGGATTATAAGGGATGCCGGGGATCGAACCCGGGTCAGCTGCATGCAAGGCAAGTGCCCTCCCCGCTGTCCTAACACTCCAGCCCCTATCACTGTATAAATATTGTTGTGCAGGGCAAGTACCTTAACTTCCCTATTAACTCTCCAGCCCCATGGTTGCTTTTGTGTGTGTTGGGGTCGGGGGGCTCCCCAATAGTGGTGGCGGTCACCAGGGCTGCACTGCCATGCTTGGGAGCCATGCAGGCCTGCCACTCTCTCTCCAGGCTGACTGGGACTGAGACGGTCGATTAAAATCCTTCCTGGCGTCTGTGCCGGGGATCGGACCCGCAACCACACTGAGCATGCGCTCCGCCATTGAGGCACAAGCCCGGCCAAAAGCTTCTTCCCTGGCGTATAGAATACACTCATAAATGTGTTTGGCAGCCGTAGAGTTTTATTTTTAAATAAATTAAATCCTTTCTCCATTTCAAAGCGAGTCGTTATGCAATAATCAGTGTCTCAATTTGACGTGCTTGTGCTGAGCTCTTGGTCATTCTGTCTGTCACTCCGCGGTTGTGGTGGGAGCCAGAGGGCCTCCTGGTATGAAGCCTGAGCTCTCCCTGGCCGTCACCCACTCCTCTTGAGACGGATTTCCTAAACGGGGGGATGTGGGGCCAGAATGATAGGACAGCGGGAGGGCGCTTGCCTGTCAACGCATTCAATCCGGGTTTGATCCCCGGCATCCCATATGATCCCCTGAGCACTGCCAGGAGGGATTCCTGAGTGCAGAGCCAGGAGGAACCCCGAGCCTTGCCAGGTGTGGCCCAAACAGCCCCCCAAAAGGAAGGGGGGTCCCAGAGAGATAAGGCTCATGCTTGCTGCATGGAGCCAATCTTGGTGTGATCTGACACCACCAAGAGGGACTCTTGAGTATGTAGTTTGTGGCGGGGAGTAGCCCTGAGCACCTCCAGGTGAGGCCCAACCCCTGCCCCCTAAAAAGTAGCTTTGTGCTGGGGCTCAGTGGCAGTGTGCGTGCCTCCTTGGAGACCCCGGGATTCGGGTCTGGCACCGCGCCATTCCCCAGCATGGTCCCTGCTCAAGTACCCACTGGGTGTGTCCTGGCCACCCCTCCCACCTCAGAGAGAAACGCTTTGCATTAAAGCTCCTGTTTCCAGTCCCCGCCTTTGAGACAGGGTGACCAGTGGCCAGCTGTGAAGCATTACTTTCTGGGCGTATTTTTAGTGCCGAGTCCCGAACTTTGAAGTGGAAGTGGCAGTGAGTTTCGGCTTGTTTACAAGACGCGGTAAATAATCTGCTGGAGCAGGAGTTACAGCGGAGGCCGGCGATAAGGGAGGAGCTCCTCGTGCTGGGCAGCTGGGGCCCGGCCAGGGCGCTGTAGTACGGGGGAGGGTGTTTGCTCCCCACGCACCCTACACGGCCTCCGAGCACCACCAGGGGTGATTCCTGAGTGCAGAGCCAGGAGATGCCGCGGACTGTGCTCCTCCAAGCTGGCACTGCCTGGGGGAGGCTGGGGGGCACCTGGGAGTGGCCCCCCCAGCATCTCTCAACAGAGTTTGGAAATGGTTCTTGTTGGGGGTTCTGGGGTGTGGGCCTTTCTCGCTCTTCCCAGGCCTGCTCAGCAGACGGAGAACTGGCAGCAGGGGCCGTGGCTGCCCTCTCTGGGCGCTGCCCGTCCCCCCCACGTTGCGCCCCTGCTTGGCGGGTGAGCGTCTGTCAGGCCTTAGGCACCCTCCACCCTCTGTCTCCCTCATGCTCAGCTGGGAGTGTCTGTTCCCATGCTGGAGGGGGCAGGATGATGCCCCTCAGGTATGTGTAGGGTGGAACCTTCCCTAGCAAGCTCTTTTTTTTTTTTTTTTTTGGCTTTTTGGGTCACACCTGGCGATGCACAGAGGTTACTCCTGGCTTTGCACTCAGGAATTACTCCTGGCGGTTGCTCAGGGGACCATATGGGATGCTGGGAATCGAACCTGGGTGCAAGGCAAATGCCTTTCCTGCTGTGCTATCGCTCCAATACGCCCCAGCTAAGCTTTTGCACCTCCCCCAGCAGTTTGGAACCTTCTGTGGCCCCAGGCGCCCCATGGCCTGCTCCCAGGCATCCCCCTTCCCGCCCCCCTCCCCCCCCCAGGTACTTCTGAAGGCAGCCAGCACTGTGGTCACCTTCCCTCAGCCCTGGCTCCTCACGGGGACTTGGGTCTCAGTTTTTATAAAAATTAAAAAAAAAAAGTTAAAAATTTGTGTTTTTCCTGGCAGTGCTTGGGGGACTACATGGGATGCTGGGAATCGAACCCGTCAGCCGTGTCAAGTCAGCCTTAAGGAAATGGGGCATTTAAAATCGCAAGGGCATGAGTCCTTGGATGCTGTTTTCTGGGAGGGGATCTTTTGAGCTCTGTCCGCCCGTCTGTTATTCCCTGTGGGCGCCAGCTCTGCCCAGGCCTCAGTGGAAGGAAGGTGTGTGACCCTGGCTGGGTGGACCTAGGGTGTCAGGA